CCCCCAGGGCTCAGCTCAGAGCCCTTGAGCAAGCTGTCACCGATATTCCTGTCCTTTGTCTCCCACCCCGGGGAGGCAGCAAGTCCATCGGCCCTACCTTCTGACGCCTCCTGTGCCCAGGCGCTGGCATGGGGCATGTCCTCAGCATCCCTGGCTCCCTCCACGCCGCCCGTCCCAGTATCCCCAGCTTTCTGCTTTCGTTGTACTTCAGTTCTGTGTCCCTTTCCTGCCAGGCTGCAGCTCCGCAGGGCTTGAGCACTGCATCCTCCTGCTCCCGGTGCTGACGCTGCAGCCAGCACTTCTGTCTGTTGCTGGCAGCCCAGCGTCTTCACTGCTCTCGTCCCTGCCCCGTGATCTGTGCCCAGCGAAGGCCCCCGTGTCCACTGAGATCCAGAGCGCCTTGCCTGACCACGCAGCTGCACTCTGGGGAGCCCTCGTCCAGGTGCTCGGTGCCCGGGAAGGCTCACAGCCCTTGCCCCGGACCTTGCCAGTGGCCTCTGGGCTGCTCCTTCCTGCAGCCTCTGCTGCACCGGGCCTGGCTCCATTCCCTTCTCTGCCCTGTAGCCCCTGCTGCTGCTCCGGGCCTGGCTCCATCCTTCTCTGCCCTGTAGCCCCTGCTGTGTGGCGCCGAGGCTCTGCTGCCAGTATCTTCTCCAGCCGTGTGCTGCGTGTCATGCTTCTTGTGGTGCGGTGGCCTTTGTTCCCCTCCAGAATAAAGGTGCCAGGCAGTCAGGGTTTCACCTCTCCTATTCCCTTTGGCAGCCAAGTGCCTTGAGGAGCCCGAGGCACATGGGTGGTGCTCGGTGACTAGGGACAGACACCCTCACACCACTGGAGCCATGCCCCTGCTTGTCCTGGCCTGGGCTACCAACTTCTTGCAATACCAGTGGCATACAAGTCCTCTGTGACCACGACAGGCATCCACCCCTGCCCACTTCCTTGGGTTCTGAAGGGCACTGGGAAGGATTTTTCCCATTAAAATGTATTTATTTCATAGGCAAATATTTTCCCCAGATGTGCCTTCCCCATTTTCTCAACCATAGCACAAAGTTCACTATTAGCGCCAGAGGCAGCTGATTAGTGAGCAAACACACACTCTGATCAAGGCTGGCAGCCATGTGCATTTCATTATAGAAGGATATTAAAAACGACGCTGGGCCTGTCTGCCACACAGCACCTCTGTCACCAGATCTGTCCGGAGTCTACTACAAGTGGGCAGTGCTTAACATACTCCCTGTAAGCAGATAAGGGAATCCAGGCCCCCAAATTAGAGATCTGGAAGACCTGGGCACCATTTCCTATTTTTCATTTTTAAAATCGAATTTTATTGCAGGCCGTCCCAAGCCCCTGACCAGGAAAGGCCGTCTGAAGTTGTACCATCTGTGTTTTTGAGGAAAGCCCTCTGATCTGGACACATGGTGGGGTACTGAACACCTAATAGGCCGCAGTGACAGTTCTTGCTAACTTGGCTCCGACAAACCCACAGAGACGAACGCAGCCCGGCCATCCCACGGCTTTAATTCCTAAGGAATCACAGAATCTGTGAAACAAGCACTTTGCCCTAAATTCTTATCTGGTAACAACCTGAATACAGATGCTGCCCCAGGCTGGGTGTGCAGGAAGAGTTCTGCCTTCTTTTCCTGCAGCACGCACCCCACTGAATGGCTGAGAACCACCCACTCCTGAGAACTCTTTCCCTTCAGCACCGAGGCATCCCTCCACCCAGCTCTGTCACGTGAGCCCATCCCTAACATACCCTCTGCGTGGCAGCTGACGCCTGCCTCTGCTCCGAGAGGCAGAGAGGCAGGCACAGCGCTGGCATGGCCAGATGCTCGGCACACAGGGTGAACCGGGAGAGAGGACCCCAAGCAGAGACCAGGTTGAGGAGGCGTGGCTTTGTCCTGGTGTCTGTCCCTGCTGACCCCTCTGACTGGCACTTCACTCTGGACCCCAGCTCAGTCCCCAGCTCCTGTCTCTCCCTCTGAGGAACACAGAGGTGGCACGGGGTGCAGAGCCCTGGTGCCCCTGCCCTGCGGCCAGTCCTGCTTAGACAGGGAGACGGGCCTTGGTGCAGGTTGGGAGTGGCACATTTCTGTGAACTGCGGCTCTGACTTTGTGGGTGGGACTCTGCCTCCCAGCGGACTTGTTCCTGTGTTTATCAGCTGGCTCAGAAGTGAGGGCCCCAGGAAGGAGTTTTTCTTGCTATGGGTCCCTCAAGTGCCCTCCCAGGACAAAGACAGCGGGGCAGCTTCGAGAATCTTCCTGGGAGGCATCTCCTGCCACGAATTCTGGCTCTCCCGCATGCCCCTGTCTTACTAATACAGCAGAAAACTCTGGCGCAACAACACAGGGCCACGAATCCAGCCACCCAGGGGTCCTGGCCATGACGACAGCCCCTCGCTGCCACCACAGGGTGCTGCACTGCCTCCAGCATCCTGGTGTCCCAGGTAACTATCCATCACCCAGGTCAGGCTCCCTCTTGCGGGCATGGCCCCAGGCGGGCTGGGCAGGACTCTCCCGCCTCAGTCCTCAGCTGCTCCAACCACAGCCCGGGGATGTGGGCCCAGACGTTCCCTGGTGAAGTGGTTCAGGAGCTCCTCCGGTTCCCAGGGACCCATGTCACACCACGCAGGGTTGGTGCCACCGTGTACAAGTGTGGTAGATAAGGAAGCACTCGGCCGCCTGGGCCAGGGAGTACTTATCTGAGTGACCTCCAGTACCCTACCAGACTGTGTAACCATCTACATCGCAGACAGGAAACTGTGTCACAGTGCAACACCACAGAGGAGGCAGTTGGTGCGCGCACCCACCCTTCAGACAGAGGGCCCTCTGCCACACGGCCGTAGCCTCGTGGGCTGCTTGCTACTACGAAGCAGGGCTTGAGCAGGGCGTGAGCACTCTGCCTGGGACAAGGGGCATCCGTGAGCAGGTCTGCGAAGGACGTGGCGGAGACGGACATACGCGGGAGAAGGCGGGGAACATGGTGCTGGGGTGGGAGTGGGGGTGGGGGCAGTAAGCTTGGGGCTCCTAGCCGGCTGAGATTCCCCAGGGGAGAGACACAGAATTTGGGAACACTTGGAAGGGGATCAAAACATATGGCCATGTTTACATGTTAAAAATGTACTACAGTCCAGGCAGCACTGCCTTGAATGCCGCCTCACAATCCTCCCGTCACGCGGCGCACACTCGTCCCACTGTCCCCGCCCCTTTCGGAGCAGCCTTGGAGCTCTCTTCCCTGAGTGTCTTCACTGGATGTGATAAACAGAAAGGCAAGATGGTAAAAACCCAGTGCTGCATCCTTGCCCATCGTACTCACTGGATCTGGTACCATGTGTCTTCCGGTTCATCGCCAAGGTCAAAATGACCAGGAGAGGGAAATGTTTTGAATGGATTCAGGACATCGAGGCAGCCAGGAGAGCCCAACTGAAGACCCTCAGGAGAGAGGACGCCAGAGCCGCTGCAGGAAGCGGCCAGGACAATGGAATCGGGGTGGGAAGTGAGGGGGAGTGTAAGGGGTTCATAATAGCACGTCTCTTTTGTGGTGCATTTTTTAAATGCTAGCATTCACCATAGTTTCCAGTCACACCTTGTTCTCTGACTTGGGGCAGATGCTGCCTCTGGACGAAACACACAGGATGCCCGTGAGCTCTGCCTCCTTGGAGCTCCAGCACCTGTAGGCCGCGCCTAGCCCTGCTGTGTCACTGGGCTGTCCCTCTGTGCACGAGCACTGCCCTGTATGGCCCCTTACCCAAAGAAGTAGGTCTCCCAGGCTGCTCGAGGGCCACAGAGGTCGCACCCGGTACCGCCACGCTGCACATGTCATCGGCCTGATGAAGTGCGGACAACCCAGGCCGCTTTCGGAGAGGCATCTACAGAGGACTCAACCATTCCCGACTCAGTGTCCCCACAGCCAACTCCGGGGAGCAGGACCTGAACAGAGGCCCTCGCTCCACCTGGATGCTCTCTGCTCTCAGACACCACGGTGACGACTGCTGGAAGCTGAGTGGCCAGGAACCCCATTCCAGCCCTTACCTGCAGGACACTGGGCCCACTGCCACGCCACTACCCCCAGCCACCCTGCACCTGTGGCCAAGTCCTCTGGCCCCTCCTTGGCCCCAGGACCTTCCCTTTGAAGATGTGCAGGGGCTCACTGCCAGCGGCCTGTCCTCTCTCCCCCCAGCCTGCTTTGGAGCATGGAGAGAGGGGCCCTCCAGGCTGCCGTCATGCTTTTGGTCACTATTCAGGCACGAGTCACAGTCGTGATTGCGTGGTCAAAATATTTTTAGTCTGCGCCATCTCCAAAATACCAGGACATGGCTGAAGAAAGCTCTCCAGCTCACCAGGTAATCACTCCTGTCATGAGAAAGGTTCTAAAGCCTCATACTCTCTGATCAGATGTTCCCAGATGCTCAGGGAAGAGCCAGAGCTCTCAGTTTCCACCCAGTCCTATACCCTGCTTCCTCTGGCCATGCCTGGCCACGTGACTGTCCCCAAGCTGGCTCTGGCTCTCTGCCAGGCACCTTTGCTTCGTGCTGTTCAAGGTACACATTTTGTGCTGATACTCTGACCTAAGCATTTTTTTCCTATTTGATGTGCAACATTTAAACCTATTAAATGCATTCTTCTTGGACCTGAAGTCCCTGGAAGGCAGGGCTGTAAGGAAGAATTGGGAATTCTGCTAATCAGAACCCATTCGTGCAAGCAGATGCAGCTTGGTGGTCAAGGGGTGGACCTGGGGCCACTCGGCTCACGCATGGAACCTGTTTGCACGGTGACCTCTGTCCTAGGCCTGTCCTCACACTGTCTTATGCACCTGAACACTCGGTTGTTACACACTGGTGTTTCTGACGGCCCCGGGCAGTTGTGCCCTCTGATACTGGTGCGGGTACCGCAAAGCTGAGTCACACCATTGACAGGGCTGGGCTTGTGCCTGGGGCTCAGGTGGGACTTAAGTGACCCGAGTTTGGGAAGTGACCGGTGCCTGGCCCCGCTGTACTTACTTGGGGAGGTGGGGGAGGCCGCGCCCCCTTCCGTGGACGTGGCTGGAGGCTTCGTGTCTGGCACTGGCAGAGGCACAGGCCTGGCCATGGGTGGAGGCGGCGGTGGTGGCAACATCGGGGTGGGGAGGAAGGGGTTGTGCACCTTGCCTTGGCTGCTCCCATTGGGCTGTGAGGGCAGGGAGGAAGCAACACACAGGAAAGAGAAGAAACGTGTCAGACATCAGTCTCTCCCCAACCCAAAGATCCAAGGCATAGCTCACGTCCATCACTCGCTGCTCATGCTCTCCCTTCGTCCTTCTGGGCAGAGCCAGGCCGGAACTCAGAGAGTGCACGGCAGGATGTGTGCTCCTGTGTGCTAAACACCCTTCCTGGACCACCTCCGCTGCTCACATCTGGCTCCGAACCTGACCGCCAGTGACAGGGCTCTGGGCCTGTCACCACGTCAACAACTTCTGCTTGGAATGCTGCAGCTCTGTATTGATTTCTATCTTTAGCACTGTTCTTGCAATTACTAAATATTTATGGAACAGCTGAGCCTTTCCCGGACTGTTGTGTTGGGCCTCAGTGCCTACTTGCATAGATAAAATGAAGTTTCCAAAATACGCATTTGGGACATATCTTCACCTTTCAAAGTTGATCTTATATAACATTTAATAAATGTCTTAAGTGAACATAAAATTTTTCTTTTGTATACTGTATAACATCACAAAAAGAATTCTGCTAGGCAAAAATATCACTTCAAATTCTGATTTAAATTATATAAACACATGTCAAGGGGCTCACATTTGTTTGGCTGCCGTCATGCTTTTTGGTATTAAAACAACAAAATAACAGCTCTTGAAGAAAAGCAAGTTTCCTTCTGAAGAGGGCAATAAAATTTACTATTCTCAAGATTTTCAGGATGGCTCCACGAAGAGACCTGTCACAAGGCCTACAAAATTTGGGTCAAAACGCAAACCTGGCATCTGACAGTCACACAGGATGATGTCAAGACTTAAAAAACAGGTTAGAAATTCAGGAGTCAGAGGCCTGGTGCTGGGGACCAGGACAGTGTTCTCATTATTTCCTGAGTGGCTTTTTGGACGGAATTTCCAGATTTCACCAGTGACACCATTCAACCAACAGCGACAGCTCATACACAGGTTGCTGCCCAGGCTCCTGGCGGGAGCCTAACAGCCCTGCAGCACAACCACTGTCCCCGCCTTGGCACTGAGACCCTCAGCACTGGTCCTCAAGACTGTCTTCTCTGACCATCAGAATGAGGTGTTCTTGCCAATGAGCTTGCCATGTGTTATTTCTGAGTGCACTGGAAGGCCCTCAATGAATGCTTGGAAGAAGCTGGGCAAATGAATACAGAAGCAAAACGGAGAAAAGGCACCACATTGATTTGTTGTCTAGACAGAAATGTATCTGCTAACACATCACCAGACATTATCAAAGTGCCTGTCCTGCTCAGATGTGCAGAGTCAGGTATTTCTCCAGGGCTGGAAACCAAGATGGGCCAGTGTGCCAGGAACCGAGGCAGGGCATCAGCAATGACAGCTAGCCTGCGGCTCCCCCGTGGTGATGAGCAAAGGAAAGCTACACTGGCTTTGCGCTGGCATTCCTGATGGCTGTCATTACTGGTGTTGGGATACAACTACTCATTGCAAACATTTAGCTCTATATTTTTAATAAGAGTCATGCTTTTTAAAAGTTTCACATTTGGAATGCTATTTCAAATCGTGACTGGTTTATTTGAGGAAAAATAAAAACATTCATTCAAAACTATTGAATATAGTTTAACCTTATACAAAGATAAGTGGGAAAGATAACTATTTGCAGAAATAACAAACCATAATAAACCATGCCTCTAGCATCTTGAGTTCAAGTACTGGTCAACTTGATCTGAAGTGTTAGAAGACTGTATTTTTAAAAAAATATCAACTTGGTTGATCTGAAACATCTGTCCCCCGCCGCCCTCTTCCTCCCTGCACAGCTCCAGATCATTATTTAAAATTATTTGGTTTTTCTATTTTGTTAACTGTGTGTGTCCTGGGGTTGGAATGCAGGCAGTGCAATGATCTCCCAGAACTGAGAGGGTTACACAGTTCACCCTTGAGATGATTTACATCCTCCACTCGGCAGTTGCAAACGTTCACACAAACACTGTTTTTAAGCCCGGGCCGGTCGCTTCTCAGAGCAAGTTAACTTTCCCACAGTGCTGGATGCAGATGGCACAGCATCCAAGCACCGTGCCCTTCCGGTCACAAGGCCTGCCCAGTTATTTCTACATCCAGTTAACATTTCTAAAGAAATTTAAGAAAAGAGGTTTCCTTACATTGAGGAACCCCACCTGTCCAGCCTGCTGACCAGCATCAGGGCAGACAAGTTGGACGAACTCTTTCAGCGTCTCCTGAGGGTGGTAGCGGATGGCCGGGTGGGAGAAGTAAGGCCCAGGCTGCTGGATGATGGGGGACGTTGGGAAGTGCAGCGTGGACGGCGTGGCATGCGGGCTTGCTGTGGAGAGAGAGGACAGAGCATTAGCAGAGGACGCGGCCTTCCAGGGCCACACCTGACTCGGTGGCAGGTTCAGAGTAGGCATGCCTGGCCGACTCTGGCTACTTGGGTCTGATCGATATCCTCCCTCCAGGCTCTAAGACAAACATGGAGGTGAGGTTAGGGTTGTTTCATGCTGTCCACTTCCACAGATGTGAGTTATATAAGCACTCATCATCCTTGGTGAAGTTGAAGATTCTTCATTACATTAAGAGCCTTTTTAATGAAGCCAGCAATAAAAAATGTATCTGGTAGATTAGACCTGACTAACGTGTAGCTGACATTACACACGACAAATCCTAGTTTGCACATATGGGTCGCCTTTTATGCTACAGACAATTCACCACTGGAGCTCATATACCCCTTTCAAGGGAATTTCTAGGGACTAATTCAGGATGAAATTCTTTTGAAGTATGTAGTAACTGATCACTTAATGAACCTGAATCTGGGGGCTCACTTTACGTGGAAGGTTTCTGTCCTTTTTTTTTCTTTTGCTGTTTCAAAGCCAATATAGAAAATTGAGACGGGGAACCCCCAGGCTGAGTAGGGGTGACCCTTGCTAAAGTGTGGTCCTCAGCCCATAAAAACTGGTGAAGACTCCGACAGGTGCAGCTCCTTTCCATTTGGACCTTGTGCATTTGCACATTTGTGCAAGAAGGTTACATTAGTTACGAACTTAAATGAGATGCTTGATACTCTTCCTAAGAGAGTGTCTGCCCTTGAATTGGACAGAGCCCGAGAAGGACGATTGATAAAGGAGCTGGAGGAGAAGCAGAGCACATGCCAAGGGGTAAAAGCCCTCCCGTTCAGTTTAATTCCTTGAACTGAAGAGATCCCTGCACAGAGAAACCAGGAAGACACAGGTGCTTGTGTGAAAGACTTTTCTAATATGAAGAGTGACGCAGGCTGAGAAACCAGAGCGCCCTCGCCCGAGGGTGGGACTGCGCTGGTGGCAGAAGGCTTCGGGCAGCTGCAGCTCGTGATGCCTGTGAGATCTAAGGAAGGATGAGAACAGTGGGGACTGCACTGCCCACAGCAGTATGCGGAGTTTTGAGAGTGAGTATGGGGGTCTGGAGAGGAGACCTGAGTCCAGTCCACGCCTTGCCGATGGTCAGTGCAGACTTCACATTTGCACGAGTTCGATCCATGATGGTGCGGCCCAGTGACGTTTTACCCCCACCACACAATCGAGGACATCCTGAACATAACCTAAGAACCAGGATTTTCAACATGTTCCCCTCAAACTTAATCTCCCAGGCTTCCCATCTTAGCAAACAGCTTTTCTGTTGTTCCTTCCGTACTGCTGTATTTTCAGAACCAAGTCCAGCTCTCCACAAATATTCCCTGATTGTGCAAATAAATAATGGAATAAATAATACAGAAATTAAGAAAATAACCATACAACTTGCTAAGAACAAAACTCCACTTCTCCACCAGGTAAAGAGCCAGGCAGCTTGCAGAAAATGGTGGAAGGTAAGACTTTTGCTGGAATCCACCATGGTCTCTGATTCAAACACAGAAGCCAAAGAGCTGAGTGGTTCTAATCAAGTCTTACCTTGGAAATGGTGCTGCTGGTTTAAAAGAACCAAAGGATTTCTTCATGGACCATAGAGAAGTTATCCTGGCTGGAAGTGGGAAGCTCTGACCTGGAGCCAGGTGTCAGACTACATAATCTCTAGGGAAGCATGGAAGGTGGTGTTTCCCAACCAGGCTGGAATGGACCGAGCCCGAGATGATACACTCAACTTCTGCAGCATGTCAGGCACCAAGATTGCAACTCCACAGCCAAGAGTCCCTGAGAAGAGGGCCTGGTGGTGCATGCCCATAATCCCAGTACTCTGGAGGCTGAGCTAGGAGGGTTCCAAGTTTGAGCCCAGGCTGGGCAACTTAGTGACTTAGTAAGACCCTGCCTCACAATAAATTTAGTCCCTAGTAACACACACCCGCAAGTGTGCGCGGTGCTCCCCAAGAGGCTGGTCTTAATGATAAAGAGGTGGAGTGCACTGCCTCAGCTGCTCAGCTGGAAGTGATTGGTGATTGTAGATTGTTGGATCCTTGTGGCCAAAGCCAGTGCTGCTCAAGGAAAAATTCCACTGCAGTGAAGATCAGGCAGGAAAAGTTCAAAAGAAATCACTGGACAGAACTGTGGCATCGCCCCATTAATTGGTAATAAACACAGCTGCCCTCATTTTGTGGCGGTGAAACATGTAAAGAAAATCGTTATCTCCTTCAATTTAGATTTTAGTTTCCTTATATTTCACTAAAATGATTTATTCACCTTTTCCTTGTGGTATAAAATTTAACACAAAACCTAGACTATATGGTGCTACATGGAATTAGTTCTACAATGACTGATTTATTAGTATCAGTTAATCCTCAATTAGCCAGGAAGTCACCAGGCCTGTGGCTTCCAGTCGGACCAGCACGAGTGCAGGTCAAGGGCCACTCTCTCCAAACCTCTGCCAAGCTGGGGACTCTGGTTCAGCCCTCAGCTTGCTGCGAAGCAGGATGCAGATCACCCACGGTCCTTTGCTCAAATGAAAGACTTGTGCTCCCCATAGGGAAGATCTGCTTATTATTATTAAATACCTGCCGTTTTTCTGGAGAAAGTCATGCTCCTCCTCTACTGGATGCTCAGAGCCAAGTGTTCATTAATGCCTCTATCTTTCTCCTTTCCTCTCTATTCCTTGCTTTCTCTCCTTATCTTGGCTTCACATCATTTTAGAAAGAGTCATGGGTCAGGTCAGACAGGGAGTTCATGAAATGTGCTTCGAGACAGCCACGTCAGGCCCTGCAGGGGAGCAGCTGCCACTGTGCGTCCGACACGGTGCTCATGAATGCACCAAGAGCGGTGCGAGTCCGATTTTAGAGGAAGCAGAATGTCTCCTGTGCATGTGCATGTGTGAGGGTAGCTGACATAATAAAAATTATAGCACATTATGTAAATGCATATTTAGATCCTTTAAAATGTGCATTATTTACTCGAGAGTCAATAAAGGCTTTTCTCCACTGGGTACGGTTTATTGCAGTGCATCCATCTGTATCCATGTTGATGTTAATGCAATTTTGTGCATTAAAAGACTACGGAATTGGTGGCTTCTGGGGTCTCACACTCTGAGACCATGGGCCAGGAGCGGAACATCAGACACGGTCACTCCAGGTAGTTCTCACAACTAGTTTAACCTTTAACTAGCAGCCTAACTGGTTTACAGCAACTGCTGGGGCTTTCCACAAGGCATTCCAAAAAAGACAGGATGGAAGGAAACATGATCGGTGTCTCTGGCTGTCGCTGCTTACACTTACAGAGCAGCTGCAGTGAGACTTGGAACCACAACTTCCCAGTCAGTGTCAGGCTCGGTTCTTTGTCACCAAGTGATCATAAATTACTGAGCACTTAAACTACACAGCGAAAGGTTGCAGGTCAGGCAGGTTGGGTCACTTGTTTCCTCCCATGCCTCAATTCTTTAAAATGGAGGAAAAGCTAAACTTGCAACACAATTTTGTGTGTGTGTGTATAACTTCAAACTACTTCCTCCTCCTTTCCAAGGCAGCCTTGAGAGGTGGGGAGGAGAAAACCCAGTCATCCCCGTAGGGCTGTTCTGGTTGGCAGAGACCTCAGATCTGAGTGTTGCATGCGCTCGTGTCTCAGTAGAGCTCGCACAGGACCAGAGCGCATGATGCGGGGGACGACACACAAAAGATGGTGGCACTGTGGAGGTGACCACATGGGCTTGGGGCCATGTAGTTTTGGGCAATGAAGTTTTAGGAAAGAAACAGAAGAAAGTAATCTCTGCTTACCATTTCCAGCAGTTTTCCTAAAGCTCAACCTACAAAAATTCTATGGACCCTCCTACGTTTTTTCCTCAAACCAAAATTTCATGGGTGGAAATGTGTTCTCTGTATCCCTGACATTGCTTAATTGCTTTATTCCTTGCCCGTGAACCATGGCAGATTCTCACAGACTGGACAGAGGACTGGGATTCTTTTCACATTAGCTTTGCTTTCTGGCACTGGACTTTAAATTCTAGTTGCTCCTCTATGAGAGGCACTGCAGAAACGCCGCCAAGAGGCAACAAGACAGTAACATGTAGCCCTCCAGGTGCAGTGTGCACCAAGACAGTGCCTAACGCAGGCTTCCTCCTGCACCAGAGGGGACGGCACCCCCAACCCTTGCACCCGCAATCGCCGCCGTCTGCGCTCCATCCATATTAAGTCGGGGATGCAGTGAGCTTCCAGACACTTCCTGTTAGCACCAACAAAAAGGAGCTGCTTTTCTGCCTGCAGCAGTGAGGAACCCTTCATGCAAAAGCAGACTTTCCCACTCAGCCAAGGGTGGCAGGGAGGACTCCCGATACTCATACTCAGAAGTGAAGACTTTCAAACGAGGCACAACTCCAGGAGACTTCCGGATGAAAAAAAAAAATCCCACTTAAAAAAAGAAGCCCTCTAGAAGGGCAAATGGAACTTGGATTGTTTGGGTTGTCAACTACTGTGTACTCTGCTTCTTCAGAAATTCAAAACCACACAATAGAAAGCCATTACAGCGGACCTAAAGCTGACAAGTCTATCTTAATGGTCCATAGCTATAATTTATAAATCATGCATGAATCAGCCTGCCATTTATGAAAGCTGAGAAGTTTGGAGTTACAGGATTTATTTTAACAGAGACATGAGGAAAGAGGAGTTGGCAGTGGTTTTCAAGCCTTTGGGAGGTGGGGGCTTTTTAAAGAATGAAGCCTTGACTCAAGCAAGCTAAGGCTTTCCGAACAAGTTTTTCCAAAACAAGTAGTCCTTATCTTTAACCTCCCTGAGAAGCATGTGGAAGAAAGAGCCTGGGAATGTTACTGAGAAACAGACGCCACTGCGCGGTGCTTTGCCAGACCCCACATCTCGTGTCACTGTTACCAGCCAGGTGCTTAGGCAGACAGCTGGAGGCTCTACTCCCTGTGAATTATCAGGTT